AAAAATAAATAAATAAGATATTATCATTTGCTTAAAACTTAAAAGTTTAAACTAAGATTTAAAAAAAAAAAAAAAAGTATATCATAGAAATAACAAAAATAAATTAGTATACTTCATAGAAATAACGTAAATAAATTAGCAAACGCAATAAAGGTAATACCATAATTAAGGTAATGAAAAAATAATATTGATACACTCAGTGACATAATTTTTGTATTAATAATTTTTTGTATTTGAGTTTTAGTTAAAAAAAACATTTAAAATCAGATATATTAAAATCCATGAGTAAGAATGCCTGTTTTGATTCATTTTTAAATTGTTCTATACTAGTTTTATGTGTATTTACAATCTTGGGAAATATTTTCCACAAGTAAGGTCCACGATAAAGAACTGAATATGAAGTTAGTTTTGAATTATATTTTGGGACAACAAAGTTGTTATTTGAAAATTTTGCTGGATATTTATGAACAATTTTGTCAAAATAGGATTGAAATATTTTAGGACATAATCCTATATTTGATTTATACATGAACATTAAAACTTGGTGTAAGTTGATTTTATATATATTTAGTGCTCCAAGTATACGCAGAAGAGGCTCACAAGGTACAGTTCTGTCAGCTCCAAATATTGTTTTGCACGCGTGTTTTTGTTTGCAGTACAATTTTTTTAATTTTGTATGGTTTGTACTTGCCCATGCAATATTGCAATTAAGTAACAATGAACAAAAGAGAAATATAAACTTTTTAAAGAATTATTGTTTAGAAATGGTTTAGTCCTATATATCATTGCTAAATTTTTTGATATTTTATTTTCAATACTTTTTATGTGTAAATTCCAACGTAAATGTTCATCTAAGATTACGCCTAGAAAGTTTACTGAGTTTTCTCTTTTAATGTTAGTGTTATTGATTATTAAATTAGGCAATTTTATGGGAATATTTTTTGAATTATTCACTTTGTGGAACAAAATAAATTTGGTTTTATCCACATTCAGAGAAAGTTTATTACTTTTAAACCACTTATTAACTTTCGATAATTGTTCGTTTGTTGTTTTAAATAGTGTATTGATATCTCTGTGGGAATAAAAAAGATTGGAATCATCTGCAAAAAGAATACAATTTAATAGGTCTGTTACTAAATTTAAATCATTAATGTACACTAGGAACAACAGAGGTCCTAAAATAGAGCCCTGGGGAACCCCACAAGTTATAGCAGACAGCAATGTTTGCTTTTGTTCATACACAATTAATTGTTTTCTATTGGTCAAATAACTTTTGAACTAAAGTAAATTGTTATTTCTTGCTCCATAGTGTTCAAGTTTTATATAAGTATGTTATGATTAACGGTATCGAAAGCTTTTGACAGATCAATGAAAACTCCTGAGGTAAAGTAGTTTCTACTGAATGCATTTGATATTTGATTTACTAGTTCAACAACTGCATGTTCCGTTGAATTTTTTTTTTTGAAACCAAATTGTTTTGAATACAACATGTCGTTTTCTGATAAGTGATTAAAAAGCCTATTGTACATTATTCTCTCAAGTAATTTTGAAAAACAAGATAAAATAGATATAGGCCTATAATTAGAAATATTTAAGTCATCTCCGGACTTAAATATTGGCGTGATTCGTGCAATTTTTAGCTTTTCAGGGACAATACCTGTTTTAAATGATAGATTAAATATGTGAAATAACGAGTGTTCTATTATATTATATACTGATTTTACAACATTGACGTTAATTTTATCAAATCCAGCACTTTTATTAGTTTCAAGGTAAAAAAAGGCGGTTTGCAATTCAATTAGTTTTAACTTAGGTTCATCCATAACTTTATCGTAGTTTTTTAAAAAAGATTCAAATGGTGTTGAATTCATAGGAATTTTTAATGCCAAATTCGGACCAGCATTAGTAAAGAAGCTGTTTAGTTTTTCAGCAATAATTGATTTATCATAAATTGTGTTTTTATCAACTGTTATTTTTTTTGGAAGAAAGTTTCTTGGATAATTATTTTTTCCGAATATTTCTTTAATTACACTCCATGTTTTTTTAGCGTTTCCGGTGGCTTTACTTAATAGTTTTGCATAATAAAGCTTTTTTGAGTCCTTTTTGTTTTTTCAAATATATTTTTATAACTTTTATATGTCATTTCGTTTTTATAAGTTTTTTTTTTTCAAGTACTTATCATATAACTTTTGTTTTCTTTTTGAAGATTTTATTAATTTTACCCGTTAGACATCCATGGAGTTAAAACAGTTTTGGTTTTTACAATAATTTTTTTTTCAGGAAATGCTTAATCATATTGCTTACAGAATTGATTTAAAAATAGATCATATGCGTTGTTAACGTCATGTGAATGCAATACCAGATCCCAATCAACATTGTCTCTTAAAAGATTTTGAAATTGTTTTACCGAGTTTTCATTGATTTGTCGCCTAAATGTAATGGATTGAGAAGGAACACCGTTAAATAATATATTGTTAGTAACTAGGAATGTTGGGAAATGATCCGATAAGTCAGTTTTGATTATGCCTGTGTAAAGATGGTTATTATGATAGTTATTAGTTATTATATTATCAAGAAGCGTAGAGGAGTTGTTAGTCACTCTCGTTGGTTTGTTATTGTCGGAATTAAATTATTTTGAAGAAGAGTGTTTACAAAATTGTTAACATTATTATTGGAAGCATAGTTTTTTAGGTCAATGTTAAAATCCCCAACTAAGTAGGCATGACTTCAGGTTTTATTTATACTTGTTAAGAATGGTTTAAGATGAGTTTTAAATTTTTTTAAGCTAGTAGATGGAGGTCTATATGTGGTATTTATAATTACTTTTTTTGTGGTTTTATTTATCTATTAGTTTTCTTCTTAGTTTTATAGTTTTATTTTTTTCAATTCTTTCTTTTAAATCACCTCCCAGTGGAAAAAAAGACATCTTTAGACGAATAAAAGGCGTCTTTTTTATGACTTGCTGTGTCTTTTTATGATCAGCCAAAATAAAGACGTGGAAAGACGTCTTTTAAAAAAACGTCTTCAAAAAAGAGGTCGAAAAGACGTCAATCGGTTGTTAATATAGAAATTATTATTTGCTTAAGGAAACTAAAAATAATTATTGTCAAGAGAATCTAACAAAAATGAGTTTTAATCCACAGTATCGTAATTACGATATCTTTGTTACGTTCTGATTGGCTTGTTTTTTGTTTACAAAACACTTTTATAGAAACGTTTTTGCATAGGAAATTTAACTTTTTTCGGTTTATATAATAATTTAATAATATAATATATAATATAATAATTAGCGGGTTTATATAATAATTTATATAATAAAGTAATATTTGGGAAAGCGGAATAGTATCGAAAATTAACTGATCGAAAAAATGATTAGTATCGAAAAATAACTGACCGATACTCATTTTAATGATTAAGATCGAAAATGTGATTTTCAGATTAATATCGAAATGTTTTTATATCGAAATTCACAAATGTGGAACAATATCGAAAACAACAAAAACGGAATATGATCGAAAAATTATTTAACTGATTAACATCGAAAATGTGTTTTTCTGATTAATATCAAAAAGTTTTTTTATCGAATATATCAAATGTGGAACAAAATCGAAAACAATAAAAAAGGAATAAGATCGAAAACTAATTTTAATGATTAACATCGAAAATGTGATTTCGATTTTATTCCTTTTTTCACAGTTTCGATATAATTCCGGAAATTCCCGTTTCGATATTGTTTCTTTTTTCACAATTTCGATGTAATTCCGTTTTTTGAATTTTCGATACTATTCCTTTATTCACAATTTCGATATTATTCCGATGAGTCCCTTTTCAATATTTTTCTCTTTTGAGCTGTTTCGAGATTATTTTGCTTTTCGGATTTTCGATACTATTCTTTTTTTAACAATTTTGATATATTCTCTTTTTCGATATTATTCCGAAAAATCTCTTTTCGATATTATTCTTTTTTTCACAATTTCGAGATTATTCTTTTTTTCGGATTTTCGATACAACTCCTTTTTTTACAATTTCGATGTTATTCCGGAAATTCCCTTTTCGAGATTGATCAGTTTAGCTGTTTTCGATACTGTTACTGCTACCCTATTTGCTACCCTACTAATTTAATTGAGACTAGATCATATCGATACCATCTTACTGGCACCACGCCATCCACTTTTGCTTCTTCCGATTAACATTTTTTAGCTAAGCAGCTGCAATTATGATTAAAATGTATATTTATTTCAGTATATATATATATATATATATATATATATATATATATATATATATATATATATATATATATATATATATATATATATATATATATATATATATATATATATATATACTATAATATATATATATATATATATATATATATATATATATATATATATATATATATATATATATATATATATACTATAATATATATATATATATATATATATATATATATATATATATATATATATATATATATATATATATATATATACTATAATATATATATATATATATATATATATATATATATACATTTATATTATGTATATTTTACATAATAACGATATATATACAGTGGCGGATTTAGTATAGGGCGTGGGGGGGCGAGCTGCCCCCCCCACGCCCCCTAAAACGCCCCCTAAAACAATTAAAATATATATATATATAAAGATTAAATTACTGAAGGCAACCCCGGTCGCCCCTATTTATTGACTTGGCCCCCCCGCAACACTAAACCTCAATCCGCCACTGTATATATATATATATATATATATATATATATATATATATATATATATATATATATATATATATATATATATATATATATATATATATATATATATATATATATACATATATATATATATATATATATATATATATATATATATATATATATATATATATATATATATATATATATATATATATATATATATATATATATACTGAAATAAATATACATTTTAATCATAATTGCAGCAGCTTAGCTAAAAAATGTTAATCGGAAAAAGCAAAAGTGGATGGCGTGGTGCCAGTAAGATGGTATCGATATGATCTAGTCTCAATTAAGTTAGTCGCAGGTAAGTGTTTTAAAAAAGTTTGATATAAGTACTACATAATAAAGTACATCGTTGTACAGTCATTTTTATGGTTGTAAATTTATTTAGCACACTCATTTTTATATATTTTTAGGCTGTTTACCGTTTAACTCCTGTCCTAATCTAATCTAGTGGGTTCAAAAAGAAGGGACCGCGCTGGAAACATGAGTGGATTAAAAGGATCAGCCCTTTTTGAATTAATAGTTGGTAACTATAATGTGCTCTACTCAGCTAATCAAGTTTCGTTTGCTTTATTTGTATTAAATTTAAGCAATAGACTGTTTTTTATGTTCACTCATTTTTTAGATGTGGTAACCAGCTAGAAGTCGTAACCTGCTCGAATGAAAGGGTTTCTCGACGTGAAATTGTTATTTTTATTCAGCAACGCCAAGAAACAGAGCTCGCTTAAGAAACAGAAAAGAAAGAGAAAGATGAAAAAATATTCTGTTGAACAATACTGTTGTTTTATTTATAAATTATTCTCCTATATTTAAACATATAAAAGATGTAGAAAATGCTTCCTCTTTTATATTGACATCTAAAAGAGGTTTTTTTCTCGGCATCGGAAAAAGCTATTTGTCATACTTTGTATGAAGAGCTATTATCATTTTCATTTGAAAAAAATAGCTTTTCGTATAAGAAAAGTAGGAATACTATAGTGTATAGGATACTATAGTATACTAATAAGTATGGCAAAAAATTTTAGGTTATAGTCAAAATAGGAAAGGTCCTAATGTAGTAGGTATATACGGGTTATTACAACCTTTGGCGTATGGTGTAAAATTATTTTCAAAAGAATTAATTATTCCTAATCATGTCAATGTTTTTATTTATTTATTTTCTCCTATACTAGCTTTGAGTTTATCATTACTTGTTTGAATAATTATTCCATTAGAGGTTAATAATTTAATTTTTGATTTTAATTTAGGAATTATGTTTATCTTTGCTATTTTTTCTATAAATATATATCATGTCAATATTTTTATTTATTTATTTTCTCCTATACTAGCTTTGAGTTTATCATTACTTGTTTGAATAATTATCCCATTAGAGGTTAATAATTTAATTTTTGATTTTAATTTAGGAATTATGTTTATCTTTGCTATTTCTTCTATAAATATATATTCTATTCTTTTATCTGGATGACCAAGTAACTCTAAATATGCTTTTTTAGGTTTATTAAGAGCTGCTGCTCAAATGATAAGTTATAAAGTTTGTATTAGTTTAATTTTTTTTTCTTGTATTTTATGTGCTGGAACTTTAAATATTTACTCTGATAAATTCACAAGTCAAAGTATTTCTTATATTTTTCCTTTATGACCTATAGCTATAATGTTTTTTATATGTTTATTAGCAAAAACTAATAGAGCCCCTTTTGATTTAACTGAAGGAGAATCAGAATTGGTTTCCGGTTATAGTGTAGAATATTTTTCAATGTCGTTTGCTTTATTTTTTCTAGCAGAATATTCTCATATAATATTTAGTAGTGCTTTTTTTGTAATTTTATTTCTAGGAAATTGAAATAATTATTTTTTTATTTACCGTTTTAATTTTTTTCTAAAAATGATTGTATTTGATTTTCTATTTATATGAGTAAGAACTTCTTTTCCTAGATTAAGATATGATCAATTAATGAGTTTATTATGAAAATCTTTTTACCTTTGAGTTTATCATTTATTATCATAACAAGTTCTTTATTATAAGCTTTTTGAAGTTTATCTAATAAATGATGTATATAACTTTTCTTTTATTAACTCCATTTTTAAGAATATTAAATATTTTTTTAATTAAAAGAAATAATAATAATATTTTTTTGTATTTTAAATTATAAAATTTTTAATTTTCAATTTAGTACAAATTTTAATTGATTATTAATTAATTCAATTTTTGTTAATTGTAATAATTTATTCTTCCTATTGATGGTATATCCATATTTTTTATAGGCTTAAGTATTTTATTAATTCCTATATGTATATTAATTTGTTTAAAATCAATAAAATATTTTAAAAGAGAATTTAATATATTATTATTTATATCATTGTTTTATTAATCGGAGTATTTTCTATTTTAGATATACTATGATTCTATATCTTATTTGAAAGTATATTAATACCTGTTTTTATTATGGTTGGCATATGAGGATATAGAGAAAAAAAAAAAAGTTGCCTTTTTTTTTTTTTTCTATACTTTAGTACGAAAAAATAAATAAAAGGCAGATTATGCTTAAAATAGGCATATTAATAGTTAAACCTCTAAAATATTTTATAATTCTAGAATTAAATCTAAAATACACAATTGAAATTATAATAAATAAACCTGAATTAGATAAACCATGAGTAATCATCATTAATATTGATCCTGTTAATCCTTTAATAGAATGTGAAAAAATACCTACAGTTTCTAAACCCATATGAGATACTGAAGAATAAGCAGTTAAATGTTTTATATCTATTTGACGACATGTAGTTAAGACACCATAAACGATGGCTATAATACTTATTATAATAATTAATGGATAGTAAAATTGAGAAGCTAACAGAAATATTGGATAACAAAATCTAATTAATCCAAAAACATCTAATTTTAAAAGTATCCATGCTAATAAAATTGAACCTGCTATTGGTGCTTCTGCGTGAGCTTGTGGAAGTCAAATATGAAATGGTACCATGGGTATTTTTACAGCTAAACCTATAAAAAATCTTATAAACAACCAAAATTAAAAATCATACAAAATTTTTATAGCTAATAAATTTTCATAATTATTAGTTCCAGTTAAACAATATACTTTAAATATACTTATTAACATTAATAAGGTAAAAGTTTATATTATGGGGGTTATCAAAAAAAACCTATATGATTTTCGGGTATAATTATATTTATAGTAATGATGATTACTGCTTTTATAGGTTATGTACTACCTTAAGAACAAATGTCTTTTTGAGGAGCTACTGATATCACAAATTTTCTATCTGCAATTCCAGTTTTAGTTTACATTATTTGTTTCTATTTTTATTAGCATCTTTAATTTTAATTCATATAGTGTTAATTCATAGTGTTGGATCTAGTAATCTTTTAGGAACCAATAGCAATTTTGATAAAGTTCCATTTCATTGATATTTTGCAATAAAAGATATATATGGATTCTTTATACTAATATTTATTTTACTATTCATAGTATTTTTTTATACTAATACTTTAAGTGATCCAGAAAATTTTATTAACGCCAATTCATTAGTAACTCCTGTTCATATAATGCCAGAATGATATTTTCTATTTGCTTATGATATTGAATTTATGATATTGATATTGAATTAATTAATTTATGATATTGATATTGAATGATATTTTCTATTTGCTATATTAAGATCTATTCCTAATAAATTAGGAGGAGTTTTAGCTTTAATATTAAATAGAGCAATATTATTTATTATTCCATTTTTAAATACTAATAATTTTTTTTCATTAACCTTTAGACCTATAGGAAAATTATTATATTGAATATTTATAGCAAATTTTATTTTATTAACTTGATTAGGTTCCAAACCCATAGAAAATCTTTATATATGAAGTAAAATAATCTCTAGTTTATTTATTTTTTTTTACTTTTTATTTACTATTCCAATAATAGGAAAATTAGTAAGTTATTTATTTTTTCAAAAAATAAATGTATAATTGAATCACACGTTGAATTTTTTTAACTAATCACAAATATATAGGAACTTTATATATAATTTTTGGAGCATATTCTGAAATGATAGGAACTGCTTTAAGTATGTTAATTAGAGTAGAACTTTCAGCACCAGGAAGAGTAATAGGAGATGATCATTTATATAATGTCATAGTTACAGCTCATGCTTTTGTAATGATATTTTTTTTAGTTATACCAGTTTTAATAGGAGATTATGGAAATTGATTTGTACCTATATATATATAGAAGCACCAGATATGGCTTTTTCTAGATTAAATAAATTAAGTTTTTGATTTCTTCGTCCAGCATTAATTTTACTCTTAACTTCATCTTTAATATAACAAGGAGCAGGAACAGGTTGAACTGTTTACCCCCCATTATCTGGACCTTTAGCTCATTCAAGGGGATCTGTAGATTTAGCTATTTTAGTCTTCACTGTGCTGGATTTTCTTCAATTGCAGAGGCAATTAATTTTATTACAACTATTTTTAACATGAGAACACCAGGTTTAACATTTGATAAACTTCCTATATTTGTATGATCTGTATTAATAAAAGCATTTTTATTACTTCTTTCTTTACTAGTTCTAGCAGGAGCAATAACTATGTTATTGATAGAAATTTTAATACTACTTTTTTTGATCCAGCTGGAGGAGGAGATCCTATTTTATATCAACATTTATTTTGATTTTTTGGTCATTCTGAAGTTTATATCTTAATAATTCCAGGATTTCAAATTATCTCTTAAATTATTCCTATTTTTAGTTCAAAAAATCAAGTTTTTGGGTATCTTGGTATGATATATGCTCAATTAGCTATAGCCTTTTATAGTCTTATTGTTTGAGCTTATCACATGTTCACTGTAGAGATGTTGATACTAGAGCTTACTTTACAGCAGCTAATATGATTATTGCTGTTCCAACAGGAATTAAAATATTTAGTAAAACACTTCTAATGTTTTTTTATTGAAATTAAATGAATTACTCTTATAGGTTTGTTTATTATATTAAATGTATTAATATTTATATAAAAAAAGTTGTCTATTAATAATATGTAAACAAATTAAGTTGTCCGGACCCACCCTCTAAACATGTGTCCGATACCACCCGATCATACCTCATTCACAAATACTAGTTTTAGAACCAGTGAATTAAACTTCTTGACGAATTTTTTTAACAACTATTGTAAACAAAAATATATCTTTAATCATTAAAAAGTGATTAGTTTACATAAAAATTCGGTATGTTAATATGTGAATCAAATATGATGATACATCGCTCTTCTGGTGGTGGGAAACAAAATCTTGTCCTCCCAGTCATTCGCTTCGGCGTTTTATGATAGATATTTTGCATATGCCATATTTTCACTCAAATAATGCTATTCTAGTATTAAAAGTCACATAGCTTTTTTAGTTAAAGCTGTACATTAAGTTTCCGGAGTTTATCGACGCCCGGGGCTACCCAACTTTGCCCTATACAATTTCGTTATTAACAATGATAAATTTTGTCAAGTTCTTCTTCATATAATTCTTGATTAAAAACCTATGATAAAGTAATTGAAGAATCTAAACTAGATATTTATGAGTTGTGATCTGCTCTAGATAGTCTTAAAAACAACGCTAGTACAGGTTTTGATCAAATCAGCGTGCATGTTGTAAAATCATTTTTTAATATTATAGAATCCTTTTTATATCACATCTTAAATC